TAAATGAGATACGGTATTTGTCTTTCTTGGTCTGCCTTCTTTCACTTCATAATACCCTCTAGGTCCATCCATGTTGTTGCAATGGCAAGATTTCATTCTTTTTTATGGCTGAGTAATATATTGTATACTAGTATGTGTGTGTGTATACCACATCTTCTTTATCCATTCGTCTATCAGTGGATATCTAACTTGCTTCCTTATCTTAGCTATTGTAAATAGTTCTGCAATTAACATAGAGGTGCACATATCTTTTTGAATTAGTGTTCTGGATATCTTCAGATAAATACCCAGAGGTGGAATTGCTGGGTTTTATTTCTAACTTTTTGAGGAACTTCCACAATATTTTCCATAGTGGCTGCACCAATATACAATCATACCAACAGGGAACAAGGGTTCCCTTTTCTCCACATATTCACCAAAACCTATTGTTTGTTCACTTATTGATGATAGTCATTCTGACAGGTGTGAGGTAATATCTCATTGTGGTTTTTATTTGCATTTTCCTGATGATTAGTGATGTTGAGCATCTTTTCATATGTCTATTGGCCATCTGTAGGTCCTTTTTGGAGAAATGTCTATTCAGTCCTCTACCCATTTTTTCCTCAGATTTTTAAAAATATTAACCCCTTATCAGATGTGTCATTGGCAAATATATTCTACCAATCAGTAGGTTGTCTGTTCGTGTTTTGATAGTTTCCTTCACTGTGCAAAACCTCTTTAGTTTGGTGTAGTCCCATTTATTTTTTCTTTGGTTTTCTTTACCCAAGCAGATATGTAAAAAAAAACCACAAAGTTACTAAGAGCAGTATCAAAGACTTTCTTGTCTATGTTTTCTTCTAGGAGTTTTATGGTTTGGGATCTTACATTTAAGTCTTTAATCCATACTGAGTTTATTCTTGTGTATGATGTAAGAGAGTGATCCAGTTTCATTCTCTTGCATGTGTCTGCCCAGTTTTCCCAACACCATTTACTGAAGAGACTGTCTTTACCCCATTGTATATTCTTGCTTCCTTTGTCATAGATTAATTGATCATGTAGTTGTGGGTTTCTCTCTCTATTATGTTCCATTGCTTTATGTATCTGTTTTTATGCCGGTACTGTGATGTTTTAATTAATATAGCCGTATGCTACTTGATATGAAACAATACTATAACTTCAACATTGTCTTTCTCATGATTGCTGTGGCTTTTTGGGGTCTTTTGTAGTTCTGTATAAATTTTAGGATTTTTTCCTGTGAAAAATGCCACCAGTGTTTTGGTAAGGATTGCATTGAATCTGTAGATTGCTTTGGGTAGTATGGACATTTTTACAGTGTTAATTCTTTCTACCCATGAGCATGGTATATAAGCTTCCATTTACTTGTATTTCCAATTTCTTTCTTCAATGTGTTATGCTTTTTGAGGACAGGTCTTTTACTTCCTTGGTTAAATTATTCCTAAGTATTTTTATTCTTTCTGATGCAAGTGTAAATGGGACTTTCCTAATTTTTCTTTCTGATAGTTTGTTATTGGAGTACAAAAATGTAACTGATTTCTGAACATTAATTTGATACTGTGCTAGCTATAATGGTTTTCTTAGGGTTCTATGTAGTGTCATGTCCTCTGCAAATAATGACAATTTTACTTCTTATCCAATTTGGATACCTTTTATTTCTTTTTGATTTGCTGTGGCGATGACTCCCAATACTATGATGAATTAAAGTGGTGAAAGTGGACATTTTTGTCTTATTCTTGATCTTAAAGAAGCAGCTTTCAGGTTTGTCATACTAGTATATGACCTTTATTATGTTAAGGTACATATTCCCTCTATCCCCACATTGCTTTTTTAGAATCCACTGATATAATTTTTATCCTTCATTTTGTTTATATGGTATATCACGTTAATATATTTGTGGATAGTAAACCAATCTTACATCCCAGGGATAAAAACCACTTGATTATAGCGTCTGATCTTTTTATTGTGTTGCTGAATTTGGTTTGCTTATATTTGGTTGAGAATTTTTGCATCTGTGTTCATCAGGGAAATTGGCCTATGTCTGGTTTTGGAATTAGGGCAATGACAGCCTTGTAAAATGAGTATGGTAGTCTTTTCTCCTCTTCAATTTTTTGAAGTAGTTTGAGAAGAATAGATATTAATTCTTTCAAAGCTTGGTAAAATTAGCCTGTGAAACTATCTGGTATAGGATTTTAGTTTGTTGGGAGTTTTAAAATTTTTATTTTTATTACTGATGAATTTAATTAGTAGTAGTAATTGGTCTGTTCCAATTTTATGTTCTTGATTTGGTGTTAGAAGAGTTTTTTTGGAAATTTATCCATTTCTTCAGCATATAATTGTTTGGGAGTCTCTGTGCTTTCTGGACTTGTATGTCCATTTTCTTCTCCAAGTTAGGGATGTTTTCAATCCCTTGCTCTATCTCCTCTCCTTTTGGTACCCCATATGATCCAAATATTGGTATGCTTGATGTCCTAGAGACCCCTTAAACTATCCTCATTTTTTAAAAGCCTCTTTTTCTTTCTGCTTTTCTGACTGGGTGTTTTATGCTACCTTGTCTTCCAAGTTACTGATTTGATTCTCTGCTTCATCTAATTGGTTGATTCCCTCTGATGTATTCTTCATTTCAGAAAGGTTCTCTTTGTGGTTTCAATTTCTTTGTGTAAGTTCTTACTGAATTCATCCCCTAAACTCATTGAGCATCCTTCTAACTAGTGTTTTGTACTCTGTTTCTGGTAGATTGCTTTCATTTTGTTTAGTTATTTTTCTGGAGTTATATCCCGTTTTGCATTTGAGAATGTTTCTCTGTTTCCTCATTTTGGCTGCCTCCACGTGTTTATTTCTACATATTATGTAGATCTGCTACTTCTCCCAGTCCTGGCAGGATGGCCTTATGTAGTAGGTGTTCTGTGAGGCACAGTCTCCTGCTTACCTGAGCCTGGTTCCCTTTATTTAGGTTTTGTGTATAGTTGAGCCTTGATTGCTGCTGTTGGCACATCAGTGGGTGGGATTGGCCCTCAGGCTGAATGTCTGTGAGGATTGGCCATGATTACACTGACAAATTGTTGTGCGGGGGCTGATCCTATGGAGCGGGAGTTGCTTTAGTGGGCTCTGGTGCCCACCCTGTCTGCCCTTTGGAAATGTCTTTTGAGGAGCTGGTTGGGTGTTGCTCTAGTGTGATCTGAGGCTGGCCACTGGTTATATTGGTTCTGGGGCCTCTTGGGTGAGGCTTTGGTATATAGACCAACTTCAGTCACTGCCTATGCCTGGCCTGGGGCCACCTGGTAGTAACTACAAAGTGATCTGCAAGTGGTTACTGCCTGTGCTGGGCTTGGAGGTGCTTGGGGCTGCTTAGCCAGAGGAAGAGGGCAAGTCGTGGCTAGCTGCTGCTTCTTTGTGATTTATGGACCTTTGATATTTTTTTAGGAAAGTCTGCAGTGCAATCCAGGCAGACTGCTTTTGTAGAAAAGCTGCTGAAAGAGGTTCCATAGAATCACCAGGGTAGGACAATTAGGACAAACTGTTATCTAGGTTAATGCAGAGTTCAGATTTGGCGCCCTCTTGAGCCTAGGTTGGGGGGGGGCGTTGCTCAACAGCATCTGCCAGCATTTCCATCCCTGGATAGAGCTACCTCTACAGTGGAGCTCAATGCAAGTGTTTGTGAGTTACTAAGTTTGTGCTTAGGCCCTTTGAGATCTGTAGCACCTAGGTTTCTAGCAGCCCGTTGTCTTTCTTGGATACAATCCCTACTGGTTTTCACAGCCAGATGTCATGGGAACTTCTCTTCCTGGCACTCCTCGCTCCTCAGGGTGGAACTCTGAAGCCAAGATATACATCCTGGTTCATAGCAGCCATGCTGAGTGTGCGACCTGCCCATTCTGTCTCTCTACCTCTCCTACCAGTCTCGACGTGGCTTCTTCTTTATATACTGTTACTAGAGGCCCGTTGCAGGAAGATTCCTGCAAGAATAGGGCTTCCTGCGGCCCGAGAGAAGGGAGCGAAGCCCGCCCTTCTCTGCTGCCTTGCTCCCTCCTGTCTCTGCTGCCTCGGGACACTCCATCGGTGGTGGAGCAGCGAGGCTGGATCGGCCGCTGGGTGGGCGGATCGTGCCTCGCCGCTTGCCCCTGCCACCTGCCTGGCCAGGTGACAGGCCTGGACACTTCAGTGGCGGGGCTGAGGGGACTGGGCGCTGCCATCTTGTGGCTATGGGTGCCGCCATCTTTGTGACGGAGTGACAGCTAATTTGAATATTACTCTTTTATTAGATAGGCTAGCAATTCAGTTTAGCTAATCTCCAAGTGGTTCTCAATGATGGTTGTTCTATAATTTAGTTGTAATTTTGATGTGGTTGTCAGTGGAAGCGAGCACAGTGTTTACTCTGCCATGTTAATACTCTTTCTTTGACCTGAAAATGGACTCATTACAAATTATTGTTCCTTGTCCACTACCCACAATCCTGACACACCAAAGTGCCACTTGGCATAACTTATCCCATGCTTATCATGGTTTATGAAAGTAGTTAAAGCAACACAAACCTTGAAGTGACTGGTACCAAGTGCTATGAGTGAAAATTTCAAGCCACAGTAGATGTCCTGGGTCAATCACTTTAAAAATCTTCCTCCATTTTCAAGTTAACGAAAATTCAGGTCATATTCAGATATAGGGGAACCCTCTCTTAAGAGCACTTGTCGGTAATTAAAAAGTGATACTTACGTGGTCCTGGGGATGCCATCCCCCAATCCTCTCACCCCAGAGTTGTGTGGTGAGAATCACTCTGGTCAAAAACTTGGACACAGAGTCTGAGTGGGTCTGGCCTGTCCCTGCCAGACCCGTCATACATCAGAAAAACTATGAAAATGTAGTCACCTATGATGCTCCATGGAAACGAGACCATAAATGATGTTCTGTCAGTGCCATTGCGTGCCCAGTTCTTTGTGAAGTCTTTTTGAGATTCCTAATAGTTGTGGAATAACCATACGAGGTCAGCAATATATCCTCATTTTCTACAGATGAGGGAATTGAGGCCCATACAAATTCACAACCTGCCCAAGGTATGGATCCCAAATACGAACAACAGCATTCTGACTCCTGAGTCCACAGCACTATTCTGCCCCTTGTCAATTTCTAAAAGAGAGCCATTCAAAGGAAGACAGAGAATCAACCCAGGGGAATGATCTTGCCAGGTAAGACTGTTCCAAATACATACTTGTTTTATTTCTCTATTTCCATAACAATACAAAGATGCTTAGAACAATAATGGTTCAAAATAATTTCTGCACCACTGATATGTATTGTCTGCATAAAATTTAGGCACAAATTTTATGGACCCCTCAATGTGAATTAAGAGCTAGAGTTCACAAAATGTTGGAGTTAGAATAATTTAAAGTTATTCATTTTCTAGATAGGGTGGCATTTGCTGAACTGTCAGGGGTTCCCAAACATGGCTATACATTAGAAACAACTGAGAAACTTCTAAAAATATTCATGCTCAAAACCAGATGAATGAATGCCAGCGCTCTATCAGGCACAGCATGTCTAATGCAATCCCAAGACCAATTCATTCTGAATCTTTCGAGAAGGTTATTGGGGTCCTAGAATTTTGGTTGAAAACCACTGGTGCAAAGAAAGAAAAATGGACCAAAATTACCTGGTTCTTATCCCCAGACTTAATGAAAAATTCAGATACCACTTGATTGTTATTTACATATCAAAATTATAAACAATCTAACAGAATGGCAGTACACTTTGGCATCTCCACATGAACTTATGCTGTTATTAATAATGAAGTTTCATAAAACGTAGGATTATGTTGATGTCTAATGCTTAATGTAAAAAGCAGGGTACAAAATTCCATATACATATGGCAAAAGATGGGAAGAAATACATGAAAACTAACTGGAAAGACTACATATTGTATGATTCCAACTATATGACGTTCTGAAAATGGCAACTCTATAGAGGAGTAAAAAAATTAGTGGTGCCCTAGCCAGTTTGGCTCAGTGGATAGAGTGTCGGCCTGCAGACCAAAGGGTCCCGGGTTCGATTCCGGTCAAGGGCATGTACCTTGGTTGTAGGCTCTCCCCAGCCTGGGCCTTGGTCAGGGCGCATGCAGGAGGCAACCAATTGATGTGTTTCTCTCACATCAATTTTTCTGTCTGTCTTTCCCTCTCTCTTCCACTCTCTAATCAATGGAAAAATATCCTCAGGTGCGGATTAGAAACCAACAACAAAATATTAGTGGTTTCCAGAGGTAAGGGGAGAAGGAAGAATAGGCGGAGTATAGATCTTTAGGGCAGTGAAACTGTCCTGTATGATACTAAATGGTAGCTAAACATCAATATACATTTGTCCAAATCCATAGAACATACAACGCCAAGAGTGAACCCTAATGTAAACTTTGGTGATAATGTTGTCAATGTAGGTTCATCAGCTGTAACAAATGCACCACTCTGGTGTGGGATATTGATAATGGAGGAGGCTCTGTTTATGCTTGAGGTTCAGGGGACACATGGGAACTTTCTGCTCAATGTTGCTATGCATCCAAAACTCTAAAGTTTTAAAAAGTAAAGTTTTTGCCCTAACCGGTTTGGCTCAGTGGATAGAGCGTCGGCCTGCGGACTCAAGGGTCCCAGGTTCGATTCTGGTCAAGGGCATGTACCTTGGTTGCGGGCACATCCCCAGTGGGGAGTGTGCAGGAGGCAGCTGATCGGTGTCTCTCTCTCATCGATGTTTCTAACTCTCTATCCGTCTCCCTTCCTCTCTGTAGAAAATCAATAAAATATTTAAAAAAAGTAAACTTTATTAATTAGAACAAGTTAACTGATGATTCTTAGCCAGTGGGACTGTAGGTGATTTATTCCTTCTTGCAATTAAATATATCCCCCAAACCAAAAACAAAACCAGCTGAAGGCATAAGTTCAAGATGAATGAATGCCAGCGCTCTATCAGGCCCAGCCTGTCTAATGCATGCCTGAGAGTTTCTTTAAGGAAATATATTGTTAGGCCTTAAAGTAGAAAGATCACATCTTTTTTTCCGAAGATGACAATGAGCAATTGTACTCACCGTCTTTGCAGATGGTTCCCATCTGACACATTCCTAAGTCTAGGAGATACCCACTGGGACAGCTCGTACAGTTCTTGAACCCTGGACCATTGCACGTCAAACAGCTGGTGTCACATCTATGGGGCAAATGTAGAATTTATCATCCTTTCACACATCAGACACAGGAAAAGATGTGTTTACTACTATCCACCTCTTACTGCCTTAAACTTAATCTCTCTTTGAAGATGACACAAAAATCTTTTCTTAAAATAATCTTAAAAAATAAGGTTTGGCAACATTAAAGAAAACCTTAGCAGGTGGACAGTGTGATTTTAAAGTACTCCTGAGGCAATCTATATATGTAAATAAAAGATAAACTGGCTTAAAGCTGCAGGGCAGTTTCCATAGGTAAATGTTCAAACCTAATTTTATTAATGATTCTAAGTTTCATATTATTTACAAAGGCAGTCAAATAAGGAACCTGGTAACCAAATGCCAGGGCTTGAGGGGCAGATCCACTTACTTTTTGCAGGATTTGTATCCATTCTCCGAAGAGTGGTCAAAGTAATAGCTGATACTACAGCTCTGCACACATCTCCCATCCTCCATGACGTAGCCCTCCGTGCAGTTAATGCACCCATCAGCACCCGCCCCTTCAAAGCAAGACAAACACAGGGAACAGAAAACCTCAGAAGCAGTTGCATGATGGGCTGCTTCTCCCACAGTTTGTGAAAATGCCATTAACATAATTTTAAGAGTTATAATTTAATACTTTTGCTTTTTCTTACAGTCTGGAAAAAAGCACACCCCTGTTTTCCAAAAGTATCAAATCTTTGGAAAGAGAAGGAGATATCACTGGGGTATTCAGGTTTCTCAATGAGGATAGGATGCTGAGGTCTGACTTTCGATGAGAATATATGCATGATTACTGGAAGAGATATTTTCAGAGTAACAGCTGGAGAAACATATATCAAGTGGATCTGCATGAGTGACAGCTAAAAACAAACAAACAAAAGCCAAACCAGAGCCAGAGGAATAAACACAAAGACTGGGGGAGAAGGTACCAGCACAGGTGGCGCAGAAGCGGTGACAGGGCTGACAGTCCTGGCCGTTGAAGTACTGTCCGTCCTCACAGGTGATGGAACACCGGGATCCCTGCAGGCTGAGGACATAGAGTGCTGTGATCAAGGCAATGAGGTAATGACTCCCAATTCTATATGTAACAAACACAGTTCCCACCATCACCACCAACACCCCCCCCCCCGCCCCGCCCCGAGACCTGTGGATTTGGCAAAGCTCCAAAGCAGGGAACTAGCCCTTGTGCCTTCCATTTTTCCCTCTCTGTGCCTTATTATAATGATGTCTGTATCATATGCATGTGCTGCAGGCTTTGGGGACAGTCCTCTGAGCTGTTAGACTGGCTGATACATCTTACAACCCAGAGGTTTTAAAAAGTATTTTATGGACAAAACAATCGCATTACCTAATAATGTGCCTAACTATTTCCTGATATCCAGACCTACTACATAATATATTTAAAAGTTGTTTTGTAATTATAAATGCAGTAGGAACACACAGTAAATGAATTATAATTGAATTAGAGGGCACAACCATTCCTACCTAAACTCCCAGGAGTAGATTTTTTTATTTTTAAGTTTTTCTGATTTTAGTTCTTACTGGTTCCCACAACAGAATTTTAATACACTTTGCCTCTATTTCTTGATTTAAACTCTAATGAATAATTTAGCTCAATTACCTACCTATACTGCTGCTTCCCCAAACATCTGAACTTTTCTTAGTTATATTACTAAATTATATTACTATTTAGTTTTTCTAGAGATAATCTGTTCCACCTTTTTTCCACCTAGCACACTTAGTGTCGAATGAATTGCTAGAATATTGAATAAGGACTCTATATTTTTTCACTCTCCTAAATTCTCTCAGCTATGGTCTTTCTCATAGTCTACAGATGGATTCTGAAAATTCAAAATAAATTAATAGAATTTTCACTATCCAATATACAGATATTACTCATAATAACTAAAGTGTGACTGGAACCAGGGAGAAGATGTAATCATATGTCACCAAATAGAGGATACTGAAGAAGTGTATCTAAGCAACAGGGTCAAATAGGTTCTCTTTTCTTAAACTCTTCACACATTGCTCCAATTCACATCTTATTTGACTTTGCTGTATGTATATGTATTACACTAATTTTACAAAGTAAAATTTATTTCCATCAATAAATCTGGAAAAAACCAAAGTAGATGAAAAAGAATCCCAAACAGTCCTGTTAACATTTTAATCCATTCCCTTCCGTATTTTATGCAGAGATATTTTTCCATGTTTGTTCTTAGCCACTCTGTAAAAATTTACAGGTCTTGAGCAAAATGGTCAACTCAGAAGCCCCTAAGGAAAATACAGAGAGCCTCAATGACAGCAGCAAACTGAAAGTGTTCTCCATTCACAGATAACCTCATTGGCCAGAGAGCTGTCATTTAAAAAGAATATTCCTTCTGCCCTGGCCAGGTGGCTCAGTTGGTTGGAGCATCATCCTGTATACCCAAAGGTTGGTTGTGGGTTTGATTCCAGGTTGGAGCTTGTATAGGAGGCAACCGATTAATGTTTCTCACTAAAATCAATTAAAGAAAATCCTAGGTGAGGATTTAAAAAATGTTTAAAAGAATATTCCTCCCCTTTCTGTAGAGCTGGAAAAAAGAACAATGCATCAAATGGATCTTTTTGTGGGAGGAAATAGTACCACCAAAAATTGTATCCAAGTTTTAAAAGCTGCCTAGTTTTTCTAATAAAGGACATTACTTCTGAGGTTGGCATTCACCCAGCTGGAGACAGAGGCAGCACTGTGTGAGAAGGGAATGAACTAAGTGGGAGGTGCAGCAGAGGGCATCACTGTGAATCCTGAAGCCTTCTGCTGCTTCCAGCCTCAGGGATGGCCTGGTTAATGGAGCTGGTCCTGCACACCTGAGTTCTGTCCATGATGAACCAGCGAGGTTAGACCTGTGCTGTTCCCCCCTGCTCAAGCACTGGAGCTCCTAGTGTGGCTAAGGAATGGAATTCTAAATTTTACAAATTAGCACTTAGTTCAGTTATTGGCAAAATTTTGAGTATGTTTGGAATGGAACAACTCGGCTACTTCAACTAAATTTTATAAAATCTAAATACAGATAAAAAAATTATTGTTTGAATTGAGATGTGGTTTAGGGGTAAAATACATACCATATTTCTAAGACTTTGTACAACAACAAAAGTAAAATATCTTTACTAAAAGTCTTCTATACTGATTACATGTTAAATGATTTTATAAAAATATTTTATTTCATTTTATGTGGCTACAGGCACATTTAAAATTAACATGTGGCTCTCATTTCTATTGGAGAGCACTGGTT